AGCTCACTTAAACCATCTAAACTCATTGTGTATAAGCATTTAAAGGCTTAAAGTCTTATTAAATTTACAAAAGCCCAACATAGGCTGTTTTATTTAACAAAAATGTATATGAAAAAACACTATCTCCATCCGAAAAATACATAAATTTCTAAAACAATATGCTTGAAAACTGAAGAAAAATTTTAGCCTAAAATTTAAATCCTCTGCCTTATGTTTATTTAAAATTTGCAAGGTCAGAAAAATTTATGTAAAAAGGATGTCACAAATAAAGAATACACATATTTGGAGCTTATGCATAACTTATTTCACTCCATATATGTATGTAAATATGCATAGTGAGCACGAGTGTGGACTTGTTTGCCGGACATTTAAAATTAATTTATGCCCAACGACACATGTGTGCATAGTTAATGAAGTCCGACGACAGTAAACAAAGCTAAAATATGTGTGGATAAATATAAACAAAAGAACAGTTTATAGTTTAAAGCTTTAAGCTTTAATGGGACATTGAAAAACATAAAAATACTGGAGGACCCGTCCACGTTTTATTGTGGYTGATACAACAAGCAATTAATTACAAATGAAAAATTAATTTTAAAAAACTTTTCCAGTGGATCAAATTGTGAATCTRAACCATTCTCGAATTTCCTTGAACAAACACACAAAATTTTATCACAATCGGTCTAGCCGTTTAAGAGGAGTTTAGTGACAAACACACGCACGCAAGAAATATATATGTAAAGATATAAAGTTCAGAGATGGTAAGCATTCTTTTTAAATACATACAAGGTGCATATCAAAGTAAATAGGACTTAAAAAAGAAAAACAGAATAAATAGTATTTTTTTTCGGAATAATMAATTTATTTTATTCAAAGTAGTTGCCTTCTACATCAATACCGCTTTCTGCACGGTCCAAAAGTATCTCGAACGAGTGTTTTAGCTCATTGGCCTTTATGACCGCCAGTATGCCGGTGCAAGCCTTTTGAATGGCATCTACGTCTGCATAACGCTTTCCTTTCATGGGCAAATGCATT